AGGTAGCAGCAGCACAGGAGGAAGTAAGAGGAGGGGGAAGGGGCCAACAATAAGATCCCATGCAAGTTTGGATCAAATCATAAAGCAAGACTAGGCACCTTCATCTGATGAGGAGAGCAACCCAGGTGACTTAAGTCAGGGAGAGAATGATTGTGCTAAGCTTCCACCATTTAAGCTACCAAATGGTAGGAAGAGCAGGGCCAAAAAGAATAAAGTTAGGGTTTGGTATGATGAGGAGAGGGAAAACCCACAAGAACAATTTGTCAAGCAACTTTGTTTCCTAGATGTCTAGCAGTTCAGGAGGGCACTCCTTACATTTCACATCTCACAAAATAGGAACTACTCATTTCATAGGAATTGCTCAGATAGAGTTATTGTAGTTTGCAGTACAGATGGTTGTCCTTTTTTCATTGCTGCTTTCCAAATTGCACATGAGAAGACATTTTGCATGAAGAAAATGAACTTGTATCACAACTGTACTGCTGTTGGAGAGAGCACCAAAGTCACTGCAAGATAGTTGGCACATGAGTGTGAGCAACAGTTAAGGTCTGACATAACACACCAGTCCAGGCAATAATTGACAATTTGAAGAAACAACATGGAATTGAAGTGTCCATTCACATGGCAAGGAAAGCAGTTAAGGAAGTTGTCCAAGGAGATCAGAGGGCACAATACACTAGGATAAGGGATTACCTCCAAGCTGTGCTGGATACCAATCCTGGAAGTAGATGCATTGTGACAACAAAGCATTTAAAGCTTCATCCTAGCAAAAACCCTAGATTTCATGGCTTGTTCATGTGCCTCAATGCTTGCAAAGAGGACTTCCTAAATGGTTGCAGACCCTTTATATGTACTTGCATAATTATTTTCCCAACATATTTTCCATTTCTTTTGTTTATGTTTGGTGCTAATGTGTTATGTTTGGTTGTAGGTGTTGATGGTTGCTTTGTTAAGTTGACAACAGGGCAGAAAATATTGGCTGCAACTGGAAGAGATGGTAATAACAACATCTTTCCCATTGCATTTGCTATTGTTGACAAGGAGGACACTGCCAGCTGGTCCTAGTTTCTAACCCAGCTCAAGTATGCTCTTAGTGGCGAGTTAGGGAAGTATGGCAAGTACACTATCATATCTGATAGACAAAAGGTACCTCATACATCATAATTCTTATTTTTACTGAAGTTTTACCATGCTTAGTACTGTCAAATAGTGTGTTGTTATACTATATTTTGAACACTAGTTATTTAAACAGGGCCTTCTTAAAGCCATAAACAATGTCTTCCCAAATTGCCCTCAAAGATACTGCCTTAGACATATTTATCAGAACTTTCAAACAGTTGGCTTTAGAGGTGAAGAGTTAAAGAAGTATATGGATCAGGTTAGTTATTCATATACCGAGCATGGTTTTGAACAAGCAATGGAAGGCATGAAAAGAGAGTGTGAGGCACCTTGGAAATGGCTTAGAAAGATACCCAAGCATTCATGGGCTAGACATGCCATGGACAAGAATTGTAAAACTGATTTGGTTGTTAACAATATTAGTGAAGTGTTCAACAAAATGATACTTAATGTGAGAGGGAAACCAACTAAAACCATGGTTGATGGCATCAGAACATAATTGCTAGTTAAGTTCAATGCCAATAGGACCAGGACTGAGACAACCAAGTGGCAGATATGCCCAACATATGCTGAGAAGCTAGAAGAAGCAAAACACCATGCTAGATATTATTAGTCAATCAAAGCAGGACCTGATCTATACCAGGTTAGCAGTGGAGAAAGCACATATGCAGTTAATCTGCAAGTGCACACATGTGGGTGTAGAAAATGGGACATGACTGGTGTTCCTTTCAAGCATGGTGTTTCTGCAATTAACAAGGCAAAACTTCATCCAAAAGATTTTGTTAGTGATTTCTTCAAGAAACCAATGTACCAAGCAGCCTACAATCCAATTGTGTATCCTGTGCCTGGGCCTGATCTATGGCCAAATACTGGGACCCCTGACATAGAGTCACCAGTTTTCAGAGACAAGTCAGGAAAGAAGCAGACTAAGAGGGGAAAGAATCAGTTTGAGAAGCTAGCTCCCAAAGATACTTCAAGGATGGCAACAATAACCTACAGCAATTGCAACTTGACAGGGCATAGGTACACTAGCTGCCACAAAAATCTAAAGCCAGCCCTAGCAATGAGAAGGAACCAACACCAGGTTAAATCTTGTTTATATATGTTGTCACTGCAGGTTAAATCTTGCGTATATTTAATACTATGTTCTAATCTATCTATATGTTGTCACTGCAGGAGAACAGGAGAGTTGATGCACCAATGGCAGCTCCATCTGCTCCACCAGAAGCAAGGGCAAGAGCTCCTTCTGCAACCAGTGCAACACCAAGGACAGCTCCACCAGCAGCAAGGGCAAGAGCTCTAGCTGCAGCTAGGACTGCAGCTAGGGTTGTACCTAGGGCAGCTCCTTCTGTTCCTGCTCCAACAAGGCCAAGTTCATCTTCTGCTGCTGTTGATAGGCCTAGTTCATCTTTTGCTACTGCTGCTAGGTCAAGGGCAAAAAAAACATTCATACCACCAAGACTGTCAGGTACTGGAAGAGTGAGAAAGCCATCATACAAGATGTCTGAATGGTTCAATTGTTCTCAAGGCAGCAAGAAGTGATGTAATGTTGAAACATGTTTAATTCAGCCTTTTTTGGCTAGTTTGTGATGAAGAATATTAAGAATTTCATGTTGAAACCAATTAGTTGAAGTCCAAGTGGTGGACTATGTAATGTACTTAATGATTGTCATGCACTATGATACTCTGGTTATGATGATGTGATGATGAACTTATTAGTTATGATGTTTTGCAAGAAGTTTTCATTCTCTTGTTGTGATGATGAGCATAGTTTCATTGTTGATATGATGATGATCTTAGTTTTCATGCTGTTGATATGATGTGTTATGATGTGTTGCAAGAAGTTGGGTGCCTCGGCGTCGACAAACCCCAAAATGTCTCCACTTGTGCATTTAGGGTGCCTCGGCGTCAACAAAACCCTAAGAAGTTACTGACATATTAATTTTTTAAATCCAAAAAAAATTGCACAAAAATAGTTTGGCCTGGGGATTGAACCCAGGACCAGTGGGTAGTAACCAGGGGTTCAATACCAATAGGATAGTGCTAGTGATGTTGTTTTAGTAGCATCCGCAATTTTACTTATATTTAGTTAGGTACGCACTGTGTTGAGAGTGCGTTGAGGCCGGTAGCGTGGTGAACGTCCGTTTAGTATAACTAGTCGTTTCAGTTTCTGCCTTTAATACGTGTCCACCTACCGCTCGCCGCCCGCACCGCCACTCCTCTTCCCCCTCTCTCCCGTCGAAACCACCGCCGACAGCCACCCCCACCGGCATAGCCATGAACTAGCAACTGGCCATCGAAGAGCTCGCCGGCAACAACCACGAGCTGCGCGCGTAGTACAGGGATATCGCGCGCTGGTTCCCCAGTCTGGCGATGCTGAGGAACCATGCCCTCGGCCTGGTAAAGGTGATGACACCTGCCGAAAGGCGGCGTGCATTCCCTGTCGGCCGCACCGTCCTGCCGGCGACCATTCTCCTGTGGGCGATGCGCGAGGTGCAGCGCTCCCTCGACCCCAGGCAGCGCGCCCGTTGGTGGATGTACCGCTCATCAACCATGCCGCCGGCCGCTGCGGAAGACATCACCGATGCCGTCCTCGCTCTCCAAGCCCCCATCAACAACGCCTACTGGGAGAGGTGCAATCCATGGGTGCTCCGGCCAGACGACGACTCTGACACCGAGTCCGAGTCCTCTGACGACTACGACTCTGATGAATCTGACGGCTACTCCTCTGACGACGAGGTGGACGAGGTCGTCGTACTCTCCTCCGACTCCTCCGACGACGAGCCTGATGTGCAGCTCCTGGCGCCTGTCCTCCATGCCGTCGAGGGGCAGGAGAACAACCCAATTGATGTGGATAAGCTGCGAGGTCGCCGACAACCAAGAGCTCGTCGTCGTCAAGCAAGAAGAGGAGGGTGGAGGTGAAGAGGTGGTGGAGCCAGCGCCGGCCAAGAAGAAGAGGGCGGCGGTGAACAACAATGAAGTGCGGCGCTCCCAACGCCTGAAGATGCTGAAGGAGGAGGAGTGACATGTTGTCTTCAGATTCGTCAGTAGAAGAAAAAGTTCAGTTTCGTCAGTTCTATCTATGTTAGTATGAACTTGCTATCTATGTCAGGCTATGTTAGTATGAACTTGCTATCTAAGTTAGTATGAACTTGCTATCTATGTCAAGCTATCTATGCAGATACTATATATGTATGCCAGCAGTATTCTGTTAGTATGCCAGGTACAAACTGAACTTAATCCAAGGTTCACCACAATAACAAACATAGTTACTCTCAGACATAGTACTCTCACAAACAACATACAATCCAAGGTTCACCACAATAAAGCTTAACACATTCCAAGCTTTCCTCCATAGCTACTACAAAAGACATCATTGACACACATGGTCACACAACTCTCAGACAACAACACAACTTAGTCCTCATCACAAATAGCCTTGATCTGGTGAAGCTTCCTCTTGTTGCTATCACCTGTTGTCTTCAGCTCAACAATGCAGGAAGCAAGAGTGCTCTTCTCCATGGTCAACTTTTCCTTCACTTTCATCAGCTCAGCAATGCAACAATCCAGCTTATCCTTCTCTTTCTTCAGGTCATCCTTCTCTTTTTCAGGTCAGCATAGCAAATCTCCAAAGTCCTCTTATTAGAGCTCAACTTTTCCTTCTCTTTAAGATGGTTGAACTTCAAATTCCTAATGACACTGGCTTGAGCTACATGAATTTGCTTTAATTGGTCAACAACAGCCTTCAATTTTTTGATCTCAGTATCCTTTGTCATGCTGCTTTCCACACTCACTGAAATGTTCTTAGCATCATTCTTCTGGTTTACCTTAGGATGGCTATCCTTATAATCCAATAGGTTGTTCACATCTTCAACAAGCTTCTAATATGTCTCCTGCAACTCTTTTTTCTGTTGTGTGAGATTGTGTACAGTGCTTGAATGCTCCAGGCATGCCATCTTGTTATCATGCTGGCTATGCTCATACATAAGCCACAGCTTATGAATAGCATTCTGCAGATGCTCTGGCCAATGCTCATCTACCCACTGCACTAATCCACAATTTCCAACACCCTACAATACAAAAATTCAGTTCAAAATTACAGACATTACTTACAGATTTAGTTACATAGTTGATTCAGTTAATGTACCAGAATCAGATTCATTTAATGATGAATCATTATGAAAACTACAACTAAGAACAGTTCCTATGAACCCTAGAATTAAATTCAGTAAATATGAACCCTAGAACATGAACAGTATCTATGAACCCTAGAACATGAACAGTACCTATGAACCCTAGAACATGAACAAGAATTGGAATGCTGCAAACAAAACTTGAAACTTACTTCAGTGGCACAGGCAATGAACCTCCTACCAGTGCTTATCCCCTCAAATCCAACAAAAACTTGTTCAAATCGAGCAATGTTGAACCATAGAAACCCTAGAACTCAAATGAGCAATACAAGGTTCTGACCTTGAGAGGGGAGTTGTCGGAGGAGATGTACTGCGCGGCGGAGCCCTCATTGCTCTCACTGTCGCTCCAGGATACCATGGCGGACTGCGGACGGCGGCGACCGGAGAGGAGAGGAGCAAATGGGAGGGGAGCGAGCGAGCGTGGGAGCAGAGAGAGCGAGCGTGGGAGCAGAGAGGAGAGCGAGCGAGATCTGGTCGGGCGTGGACGGTCTGTCTCTGCCGACCCGACCGCGTCTGTCTGAAGCAAACGGCGCCGTCAGCGCGTCCGTTATGCCACGTCACGCATATTGGGCCCCACCTGTCGGAAACGCCCTCAACCGCGTGAAATCACATGTTCAGTGCAATCTGCAAAACTGTTACTGAATCCGCGGTGAATTTTGCAAATGATTAGCGACCACGTTGTTTTCTGCAAGATAAGCCCCAAATGTGGTGGTTTCTTGCAATTCACTCGTTTTTTTTAAATTATTCATTTGGTAGTAGATGATCTCAGATACCAATAGCAATTTTGATATTATATCACTTAACCGATGTTGCGCTATTTTGAAAATTGAAGAGTTCATGACATACCGGTTGGATTATAAAGCAAAACACTAAATTAACCTTTCGAGAATAGAAGGCTTCGAAAGACTATTTCAGTGGCATTATGAGGCATTTTGCCCGGATATCCACTTTGGTGCCGAGGCTCATCTACTCCCGCTCAGGAAAAAATCAAAATAAATACTACAAAAATTTGAAAAATTCAAAAAACAATTGGGGTGGTAGATAATTTGACGCGTGAGGTGCGCCCCAAAATTCAACTTATTTGGACATCTGAGTAGCTCTCGGCAAAAAGACAAATCGGGTCAAAACAGTGCGTGAACGGTAAACATTTTTACAGACCCTGATTTTGTCTTTTTTGCCGAGAGCTGCTCAGATGCTCAAATGAGTTGAATTTTAAGGCGCATCTCACGCGTCAAATTATCTACCACCCCAAAAGAAATTGGAATTTTTTAAATTTTTCTAGTATTTATTTTAATTATTTTTCTGAGCGTGGGTGCAGATGAGCTCGGGAGCCAAAACTCCGCGTCCGCATTTTGCCTATGTTTAATGGGTAACCTTGAAGTGTCAGCATTATTGTCACAATCTAGTGATTGTTTTATCTTTGATAAATATTCATCCATAACCTAGATCAGCCAGTAGTTAGAAAACTACGCCTTGCAGAAAAGAGAGGAAATTTAACAATGTGAGTCGGTACCTCAAATTTGGTTTACAATAGCTGTTAGGCTCGCTGTTGCCGACCTACTGGCTCATCGCTGGCGTATCTATGCGAGCGAGAGAGAATATATCGAAGTCGAGGAAGCGAACGGAAGGGCTAAAGGTCTGCTGCCAAAAATGCTAATCACACGGATCATAACGGGCATTTTACGAGCCGTTTCCTTGATTCTCTCCACCGCCCCCTGAATTTCAGCTGGGTGGGGGCCCTCCTTCCACCTAAACCAACCACAACCTGCCAAGTGTAATTCACCCTATAAAACCCTGTAATTATCCGGAACGTAGCATTACTCGTCTGCTGCATGTAGATGGCGGCCGCCAGCTGCCGTGTACACGTACAGGGAAGAGAATCATATGAAGCCATGAATAGCCTAGCACGTTGTAAGAACTTTACGTAGGAACATTAATGCTCTCCCTCTCAGCATGATGCATCACGTGTCCACATAGATTTTAAAGTGATGAAGCATTTAGTCCAAAATTAATTTACCCAACCCACAAATCTGAGGCTACAATCTTTAATGGGTCCCACCACCATCCCAACCCCTCCCCCCGCCCCCTCGTTGCTTTTTGGCTGAAGCAGCCGGCTCTTCTGCAAGCGACTCTAACACACCTGCATGGCTACTGCTTTATGTCCACCCTGGCATCCGAGCCTACATGGACATGCGGGACATCATGCTGGGGCAACCCATAGTATGTGCCCTTAGAGCATCTACAGCCGGGCGCCACGAACCCCCCTTAAACGCCCGGGCGGCTCACCCGGTCACTGACCGGTCATGAAATTTCGACCTAGACGTAAATCTAAAATGGGTCTCAAACGCTCGCGCTGACCGGCACCTCTCATATTCAGCCAAATATGGGGCGGATATAGGGGCACCCGGGCGGGCCCGTCATGTTGGACCCAACTCACGCTGGCTCCGACCCCACATATATTCGTCCCCATCCGCTCGCCGGACCAAACCCTAGCCACTTCACACTCCTCTCCCCTTCACTCCTTCCGCCACCCGAGCTCACCTCCGGCGATTTTCGACCGTCTCAGGCATGGCAGGAAGCAGATCGGACTCCGATCAGTCCGGATCCATCGACTGGAGTGTCATCCCGTGCAGGTTGGAGAAGGCAATGGTGGCCCGCATTGCACTTCGCCGCTCCCGGGAGGACAACTCTCGGCTGATGGATGGATCTGTCCAGCGTGACTCCATAGCGTTGGATCAACGAGCGCCCGGGTCCTCTGGGGCTGGATCATCACAGTCCTGGCAGCCAGAAAATCTCTCCTTCCCCATCACCGGACGAGCGTACTATGAATCCCACCAGGAACGACAGCCCTCCGTGGGAAGGAGAGGATAAGGGCCGCCGATGCTCGTATCACGGCGAAAATGGCGGCGGGGCGGGCGGCCGCAGAGGAGGAAGCCATCCATGCCCTCATGAGACATCAGCGGAGGAACATGTGTGCTCTCGCCCGATAGCAGATTCGGGTGGTCCATGCCATGGTCGGACTGCCACGAAGAAGGAGAAGGAGGACAACGACGGCGAGGACAACTCCGGTGATGAGCAGCTCCGACTCGATCCCTACTGCGTCTTCGACCGATACTTCCGCGAGAAGGACAACAATGGTGTCGGGAAGGGAAAGGAAAGCCCTGGGTGAACTCCACCATAGCCAAACATGCCAAATTTTGGTAGTTCGATGGCATGTTAGTAGTGATGAAGTAACCGGACAATGTGGATAATGCATCGACGTAGTTGCATGAGTTTGTATGGATTTGTGATATGATAATTGAGGTGTCCAGATGTGGATTGCATTATTTGAGGCGTGACGGGTCACTGCCCATGGACGCACCCAGATGCGTCCGCGGGCGTTTTAGGAGCCAGATTTGCGCATCACGACTGTAGATGCTCTTAGAATGCGATGATAGAAATTTTGACTTGTTCCTCAACAACAAGAAATACACATTAGGCTCGTGTGTATGTTCGTCTAACTCTACGAACCATAGCAATTCATATGAAGCATGTACTCCCTCTGATCCATATTAATTGACACACACTTAGCACAAGTATGTGGGAGTAATACATTTGAGTTTGATGCGTACACAACAAGATAGTTACCATGCCGGAGAACATGCATGCAAACCAGGATAGATTTCCTTCTAGATTAGTAGTAATTGAAACAATGTGGGGACAGATGTCTCTTGATAACCCGCAAGTATACGGGATCGCAACAGTTTTCGATAAGTAAGAGTATCGAACCCAACGAGGAGCTAAAGGTAGAATAAATATTCCCTCAAGTTATATCGACCATCGATACAACTCTACGCACGCTTGATGTTCGCTTTACCTAGAACAAGTATGAAACTTAGAAGTGCTTTGTAGGTGTGATAGGATAGGTCTGCAAGATAATAAAGAACACGTAAATATAAACTAGGGGTTGTTTAGATAAAGATGCAATAAAGTAAATATAGCGAGTGTGGAAAAGTGGTGGTAGGAGTTGTGGAATTGTCCCTAACCAATTGACTACGCTACTAGACCGGTAATCACTATTGCAATTCTATTTGAGGGAGAGGTATAAGCTAACATACTTTCTCTACTTGGATCATATGCACTTATGATTGGAACTCTAGCAAGCATCCGCAAATACTAAAGATTCATTAAGGTAAAACCCAGCCATAGCATTAAAGTATCAAGTCCCCTTTTATCCCATACGCGAACAACCTACTTACTCGGGTTTGTGTTTCCGTCACTCACGCAACCCACCATAAGAAAATCATAAACATATTGCAAACCCTACAGCGGGAATCCCTCACGCTTGCGCGACACAGAGGGCACCATAGGACAGCACCAATAATAAAACATGCAACTCAAACCAATCATAGCAATTCATCAATCATCGATAGGACAATAGAAATCTACTCAGACATCATAGGATGGCAACACATCATTGGAAAATAATATGAAGCATAAAGCACCATGTTCAAGTAGAGGGCACAGCGGGTTGCGGGAGAGTGGACCGCTGAATATAGAAGGGGGAAGGTGATTGAGATGTTGGTGAAGATGATGGAGGTGTTGGTGAAGATCGTGGTGATGATGATGGCCCCCGGCGGTGTTCCGGCGCCACCGGAAGCAAGGGGGAGAGAGCCCCCCTTCTTCTTCTTCTTCCTTGACCTCCTCCCTAGATGGGAGAAGGGTTTCCCGTCTGGTCCTTGGCTCCCATGGCGTGGGAGGGGCAGAGAGCCCCTCCGAGATTGGATCTATCTCTCTGTTTCTGCATTCTCTGATTCTACCCCTTCACCGTTTCCTTTATATCTGGAGATCCGTAACTTCGATTGGGGTGAATCTTTCGCCCAGATTTTTCTCGTAAAATTAGCTTTCTTGCGGAAAAAGTAGAGCCTTAACCGCCCTACGGGTGGCCCACGAGGGCCCAGGGCGCGCCAAGGGGTAGGGGGCGCGCCCCCTATCTCGTGGCCACCCCGGACACCGTTTCGCGTTGATTTCACTTCCCAAATATCATAAATATTCCAAAAAAAATCTCCGTCCATTTTTATCCCGTTTGGACTCCGTTTGATATTGGTTTTCTGCGAAACATAAAACATGTTATAGACAGGAACTGGCACTGAGCACTGGATCAATATGTTAGTCCCAAAAATAGTATAAAAAGTTGCCAAAAGTATATGAAAGTTGAATAATATTGGCATGGAACAATCAAAAATTATAGATACGACGGAGACGTATCAATGTCTTCCCCATTCTTTTCTTTAATGTATGATACGCACACTCGTGTGTATTTGAGAAAGAAAGAAAATACTAGCATATCCTTGAGGATCCTACATTATTGATGCCATC